TTGTGCTTGATTTAATATCTAATTTATTAATATTATGAATTTAATTAAAAAATTAGCATTTCCTTACAATTAAACAATCACTCTTCTCATAGGAACCATAAATCTTACATAGAAAATAAATAAGAATATGAATAAAATTTCCCATGGCCTTTAAACATTGGTTTAGTTTTTGTATCATCAAATTCTTCTCAGTGTTTTATTTTCACATACCAAGCATAGTAAATCAATTTATCTTAAATGCTTTAGCCACTTAACTGTACATATTAACATGCTGTGCTGTGCTGGACTTAGTCTCATCTGACTCTTTGCAACCCCATGGACTGTAGCCTGCCAGGCTCCTTGGTCCATGAAATTTTCTAGGCAAGAATACTGGAGCGGCTTGCCATTTCCTCCTGCAGATATTACCATGATTCCAGAGTAAATCGATATGATTATTCTAAAACTGGTTACAGATGTGTTCATACCAGGAATTTGCATTCTTTGTGCTTCCCTTGTGGTTCAGCTGGTAAAGAATTCGCCTGCAATGCGGGAGACCTGGGATTGATCCCTGGGTTGGGAAGATCCCCTGGAGAAGGGAAAGGCTACCCACTCCAGTATTCTGGCCTGGAGAATTCCATGGACTGTCTAGTCCATGGGGTCACAAAGAATCAGACATAACTGAGCGACTTTCACTTTCATTAGCCTTTCAAAACTGCCCCTGATTTTTTTGTTTTAAACAAATGCTTGTTTTCTGGCAACCAAAGAATGATCCAAAACTATTATGTATTTTCTCTTTCCTTCTTTTTATTTCCCTAGTAATTAAGGAGCCCTGGTTCTTTTTTGTTGGTGGATATTGGGTAACAATTATCTAGAGTGTCCTTAAGTGTTGGCAAATGTACCGTTGCTATTATTGGTCTCTTTTAAGGAGACATCTGAAAAGATACCTCTTTTAGGTCTGTAAGTTCACATTGATTTTCCTTCTGTAACATCATGTTGTTACATCTGCTCTCCTTTTCTTATGTTTCACCAACTTCAAAGACTCTACTACATTAATAAGAAAGTTGCTTTGTAAGCAAGATATCAAAGCAAGGCAATTTAGAATAAGCAGATTAAAGAACACTTCCTCTAGACCAGTGATGGACCAGCCTGCTAGTCCAAATGTCAAGGGTCACCTCCTAAATGAGAATAAAATCAAAACAATGTAGCGAATTTTCCAAATTTAATTTGCTCACTTTGCTGGTGTTTCTTCCTTAAATTAAATGTTGCTATAACAGTGGTAGAGTTTTTAAATAATTCCTTGTTACAAAAATAAAATGTTTTATAACTTTATTTTCAAACTGAGGATAGATTAACAACCATCAGATCCAAAATAGTGTTGAACAGTTCAACCTTGAAAAGATCATGTATGCTTCTGGACCTCAGGAATTGCTAGAACCAAAAACCAGAAGAGCTACTAATGTAACACTTGACATTTTTCCAGTAAACTTAGTCTGGTCTTAACCATGCAGTGAAGTCCAGGGTCCCTGTGATGCACACCTTGTAATATCTAACATGGAACAGAAATGCTGCTCATTTTTCTGAAAGGGCTGTCATCAGCAAGTTTGGGTAAAATACCCATCTTGCTTGGACCATCCACCAAGTACAGGAATTTTGGCCTATTTAAGAACCTGGTATCTTCTTCTATAGCTGGAAGATCAAATGAAGTAATTTCAAATTTAAGGGAGAAATGCCATGCAAAACATAGAAGCTTACATTGAGAAAGATGTCCTTATGTAGCGTAACACAAAATTATATGCCAGCCATGCATTTATTTCCTTTGTTCTAATCTCCATTGTTTTCTAAATGTTGTTGGTTGTGTAAACGTGCTGGGGCTGCCATAAAAAAAATAACCACAACTGGGTGGCTTAAACGGCAGAAATGTGTTTTCTTATAGTTCTGGTGGCTGGGCATCCAAGATCACAGTGTAGGCAGGTTTGGATTCTCCTGAAGTCTCTTTGCTTGGCTTGCAGATGGCTGCCTTCTTCCTGTGTCCTGCTGTCCCTCTGGCTTTCTTGTCTGTCCTAATATTTCCGATAAGAACACCAGTCATATTGTATTAGGGCCCATACTTGTGAGTTGATTTAACTGTAGCTTCTTCTTTAATGGTACTATCTTCAAAAATAATCACTTTCCAAGGTACTAGGATTCAACCCTACTTTGAATTTGACAGTTGATAATCTATCCTTAGCTTGAAAATAAAATGATTTGGATGAAAACAATTAAGACCATAATATTGGTCAATGAAATTCAAAATAGAAGTATAAAATTATTAGGGCTAACTTGAAGCTGTATCAATTACTACACCTTCATCATTAAACAGTTTTTAAACCAATGTATTCTTGACTACTTGGTTAAAATTCTCTTATTTAAATATTGTGCAATAGGCCTTAGAAATATAGTATCCTTGTAATAGCTCTTTTTATAAACTTTTAATTTTCCACAATCAACTTCAGTTATGTTTCTTTTGTTGTTCCAGTATTTGGTTTTGCATTTTTGAGAATAGCAGCTTGTGTTGCTATATTTGTATTTTTCTTGAAGAGATCTCTAGTCTCTGCCATTCTACTCTTTTCCTCTATTTTTTTGTATTGATCACTGAGGAAGGCTTTCTTATCTCTCCTTGGTATTCTCTGGAACTCTGCATTCAAATGGGCATATCTTTCCTTTTCTCCTTTGCCTGTAGCTTCTCTTCTTTTCTCAACTATTTTTAAGGCCTCCTCAGGCAACCATTTTGCCTTTTTGCATTTCTTTTTCTTGGGGGTGGTGTTGATCACTGCCTCCTATACAATGTCACGAACTTCTGTCCATAGTTCTTCAGGCACTCTATCAGGTCTAATCCCTTGAATCTATTCATCATCTCCACTGTATAATCGTAAGGGATTTGATTTAGGTCATACCTGAATGGTCTAGTGGTTTTCCCTACTTTCTTCAATTTAAGTCTGAATTTGGCAATAAGGAGTTCATGATCTGAGCCACAGTC